CACCTACTAGCACACCTGTTAACATACCCGCTAGCACACCTAGCACTCCTATTAACACACCTGCCAGCCCACCTACGAGAACATCCACCAGCACACCTGCCGACACATCTGCCAGTAGGCATGGCTTCTGCTCATTCTGGAAAGCTGGAGTCAAAGGCAAAGAACAGGTAGAGCTGCTGCCGGGGGCGTTCTCACCTGTGAGAAAGCACCGCCAAGGGAAACAGGACAGCAGACAGCAGACCGTTCATTCGAGTGCTTGGATGTGTTGGTGTGGAAGCACTATTTTCTGTTTTGTGAAACTCTAGAGGCCTTTAAACATGGAATTAAGAGCCCCACACGCTCACACAGAGAGACTTGCGTACGGCAGGGAGGGGAGCACGTGCGAGCCATCCTGTCCCTCGGGAGGAAGCCTTCTTGGTCTCCGGCCGGGCGAGGGCCTGGTCGTGGTCAGCAAGTGAGCTTCCGGCTGGGTGCAAATCCTCAGGCACGGACACCCCGACTTCACCCACGCCCCCAAATCCCACGTGTGCGTCGGCTCGAGCTGCAGGGACGCAGGCTAACAGGGAGAACAGGATTTTTACAAAGCCTGGTCGTTTTCTTCCCTCAAGAGTGGGTGGCCTGGGGGAAGACCTAAGCCCTTCCTCGCCAGGCGGGGAGCTGGGATGCAGGTGCGGCCGGGCCGTTCCCGGCTCTTTCCGGCCCGTGCCCCGAGCGCACTGCAGGCCACTCCCGCACAGCCTTCCGCGCGCTCGCCGCTTTCAGAACCCCCACGAGGCGGCTGCTTGGGATTCCAGAGCACATGCTTTTCTCACGGAAGTTTCTCGGGGGGCCTCTGGGCCTCCTTACCTATAAAGATAGTTGGGCTTTTGTGCTAACTGACTGTCATTTAGACCGGCACTGAGGCCAGCCAAGGTGCCTCAGGCCTCACCAGGATGCCAGGGTTAGATACCACAGCAGGGCAGCTAGAGCACTTGCTCCGGCTGGTGGGAAGGCAAAGCCACGTTGGGTGGGGTCTGCTTTGCTAACTTGTTTCTTCTCACCTTGACATGGGAGCAAGCTCATCCTTGGGGCACTCGCTCTCCACATTTTCAGAACCGGGGACAAAGGCATTTGCCTTTAAACGCACCTGGTGCAGTTGAGGCCAACACGCACCCCCTTCGGTATCTTGCAGCCTGCAACGTGTGGTACCTGAACTCCGTGGAGATGGAGTCCCTCACTGGCCACCAGGCGGTGCAGAAGGCCCTGAGCATCACCCTGGTCCAGGAGCCACCCCCGGTGTCCACGGTCGTGCACTTCAAGGTGTCAGCCCAGGGGATCACCCTGACGGACAATCAGAGGAAGTGAGTTCCCCGACGGGGATCCTGCAGCAGGGCCAGCACTCCTGGTCACAGTTGAGCATGTGCCCTTCCTGCCCTTCTCTAATGTGGCTGTCGTCTGGGTTAATCCCCGGCCTCTGCCCCTGCCCATCTGCTGGCTTCTCTCTCCTTCTCCAAATTGGCTTTGTCCCTGTGCCAGCACAAAGCCAGCAGCATCTGGAGGCATGATTTCACAGGGTAGCACAGCATGTTATGATGGGCGTCCTTAGGGGACCACGCAGACCGGGTGGGAAGCACTTTTAGAGTGGGAAGGAGGGGCTGGGCAGGTCAGCCCAGATGGAGGACTCCCAGGCGGAGGGACTTTGTCCTACCCTCCCGCTCGGAGGCGTAACTGGCCGTGTTCCCGCGGGTTAGTTTCCTCTGTGTCGTCTAGATCCAGTGACCACAAGCGTCATCACAGGATCCTTCCCCAGGTGGTGTCAGTGACCACAGGCAGCCCTTCCCCAGGAATGTGACGTGCACAGCCCTTTAGAGTTAGCTCGGCGCTCTGAGATCTGCTAATGTATCCCATTCGGGAGGCTGTCCTGTGAAAGCGGTGGGCTGTTGTCATGGTCACCTTTTCACCGGTTAGAAAACCAAGGTTCAGAGGTGGTTAGTGGTCTCCCCACGATGTTGCACCCAATAGGGTCCGACGGGGCCTGTCTCGTGCCCCACCAGCTTCTCCAGTTTGTTAGGGCTCCTTGACCCAGTTCCCGCCTTCCCGCTGACAGTTTCAGTCCACGTGGCTGGCCGGCCCTGTTTCCAGGACCATTCTGCACAACTCTGTGTTGCCTGTGGACTTCTAATGGGCACACGCTTTGTTCTTCTCTCCAAGTGAGAGTAAAAGTATAAAATAGTTTCCTGCTCCCCGAATCTTAACATGTGGGGGAGCCTGCCCTGTGCGTCACCCCAAAACCCCAGTAACAGGAACCATCCTCTCTCCCCTGCATTCCAACAGGCTTTTCTTCCGGAGGCATTACCCCGTGAACAGTGTGATTTTCTGTGCCTTGGACCCACAAGACAGGAAGTAAGAAATTTGCATTTTTATTAAGTAAGGCATATATACTTTTTTACCCTTTAATTTTAAAAATTAACATAATTCTCTTCTCTTTAATTTGCAAGGTGGATCAAAGATGGCCCTTCTTCAAAGTAAGTTGCCAGGATTTCTTTACATTCTTCGTTTACAATCATGGCCCAAAGTTGAAATTTTTTCCAGATTTCCATAAAGGATGTCTTATAAGAAAATGACTACGACCTGTCAGTTACTTTTTTAAGAAAAGAGAAAAAAGTAAAAGTGTGTACACTACCTTCGTAGCAAGGGCCTGGACGGTGTCAACTTTCCCGATGGCTGTGGCCGGCGTGCAGCGTTTACGTGAGACGCTGCGGTGTGGTGCTGTGAGAAGGGCGGCAGCCACTTGGGAGGGGGCTGCAGCGCCCAGGTCTGGACAGGCGGAGGGAAGAGCTCCCCGTGTGCGGGATGAAGCTGGTGTCCCGAGTTGGCCAAATGTGAGGGCAGATGGTTTTCGTCACCCCCTTGCTCTGTGGCAGGCCAGGCACCTGCTAGAGGTCCCTCTTCACAAGTCACCTGTCCCTGGTTCTCCAAGAACCTGTCCATGGCCATTCCTGGCCCAGTGCTCCGTTGGCAGGCGGAGGGACTTCATCCTACCCTCCCGCTCGGAGGCGTAACTGGCCGTGTTCCCGCGGGTTAGTTTCCTCTGTGTCGTCTAGATCCAGTGACCACAAGCATCATCGCAGGATCCTTCCCCAGGGTTCCTGCTTCACACTTGTCATTTGTCTCAGGAGCTGGTGAGCGCTTGGAGGGCCCCCCCTCAGCCCCTGGGGGACAGGTTCTGGGCGCACTCCCGCTCTCCGGCTGGCAGGGGTGACACCGGTCTTTCATCTGCTTGAAATGGGCAGCTCCGTCGGGATTACTTAAGTGTCATCGGCTGGTCCTTTTCGTGGTGTGGAAACCGCTAAACTTAAACAACAACAGCAGGATCCTTCATTCTTTAAGAAAGAGAAGGAAGACCCTTGCCAGGGATTTGGATAGGGATAATGGTCATCACTGTGTGAAGTTTAGGGCTCATAGAAGCCTGTTAACAGAATAGCTTCAGTTCTTCCAAGAGAAGTGATTAGATGTGCTGTTCTTTCCAAACAACTTCCTGAACTGTACGTAGTCTGCAACCAGGATTTCAATGCCCAGCAAGAGTCCCTGGTGTATTTCAGGTCCCAGCAGGCAGGAGTGTCCAAGTCCAGGCAGGGGTTGGGTGCATCGGGCACCCTCTCCGGAGTCCCTCCACCCCTGCTCTCCTGTGAGGTTCTGGTCTAGTACATCAGAGCGGGACCCTGGGAGTCTACATGGACAGGTACCAAGGGATTCTGGCCCCAGCATGGGGAGTGTCTGTGGAGGTAGTTGAGCCTCCAGAGCTGGGGCTGAGGACCCTCGCCTCCACCCAGGCTCAGGGCCTCACCTGCAGAGCAGAAGTCAGACATCTCACCTGCAGGCCTTTGAAGGCTGGACAGGTGGCCAGCAGGGTGTTTGGTACAAGGTAGATTTTTGATATGTAGCATTTAATGTTCCTCCTGGCAGTGCTGCTGGTGGCCAGAGGAAGCAGACATTTAGTGCTTTGTGGGACACTAACCACTCTAACGTGGACTTTGCTTTTGCAGAGTCTTTGGATTTGTGGCCCGGAAGCAGGGCAGCGCCACAGACAATGTGTGCCACCTGTTTGCAGAACACGACCCCGAGCAGCCTGCCAGCGCCATCGTCAACTTCGTGTCAAAGGTCATGATCGGCTCCCCAAAGAGGATCTGAGAGCCCCCCTCGCAGCTCAGACCTGCCAATGCCTCTTGAGGCTCTGGAGACAGAGTGGGGTGAGGGCGGGGCCCCACTCCATACAAACTGATAATCCTAACATTCCAGGCCTGGGAGGGAGAGAGGACCTTCCACCTCTACAGAAGCAGGAACAAACAGCCTCACCACGGACTAGCCTTTCCTGATCCAACACATCTCTGCAGCCAAATGCCTTTTGGGTAGGCGAGGCCAGGCATGGGTGCTCCCACCCAGGGTCCGCATGGGAAGGGGACAGGCAAAGGAACAGCAGGGAGCATGCAGAGGTCTCCACATTCCTGGCACACCAGCATGTCAGGGGATGAGGCGTGCCCAGCCCTCGCGGCAGAGGTGCTGAGTGACCGTCTGCTTCCCCATCTGCCACGCGCTCCTGTCCCGCTGACACCCAAGGCCAAGGTCTCTCTCACCTCGGTCTCCCTGAGACAGAGATGCTAATGAAACTGAGAAGGGGGCGCGTGTTTGAGGAAGTTTTGTGCAGGTCCGGCCCTTCTGGAACACAGCTGGGTCCCGAGGGAGGGGACTTTGCGATGGGCTGTGGGGACGAGGGTGTGGAAGCCTCGTGGCGTCGTGGGAGGAACGTGCCACGGCAGAGGCCCAGCCTCGCACGTGGTGCCTGCTCCGTGCCTCCTGCTCACGCGTGGCCAGCTGGGCCGGGGGAGCTCATGAGGACCCCGAAAGGAGAAACAAGAAGAGGGAATCAAAGACGCCATTTCTATGTAATTTATATTTTACTTATGCTGAATTATTTATAACAATTTGCCGTTGCTATACTGTACCAGTGTCAGATGCTGCAGCCTGCCAAGCTGTGATTTTAGGAAGCTCGTCCCGTGTAGGACGCGCTGCAGGCACGTGGCTGCAGAAACAGGAGGCGTGCGGCGGGCTGCGGGCAGGGCTGTTGAGTCCCCTGGTGTGGTGCCGCCCATGGGGGCTGTGCCTCGAGCAGCCTACCCTGCGCTTTATGCACTGCGTGTCGTCCCTGATTGCGGGTGGCTTCCTTGCTGGGGGGAACGTCCAGGAGGGACGGGAAACGCCTGGGCTTAATTAAGCTTACAGCCCCTGCCTCGGCTCGTTCTGGGCCATCTGCAAACCCGACAGGGCACAACCTAAAGCGCCGCTGGCCTGTGCAAGCTCTCGTCATGCTTCTCCCTGCCACGCCTGGACTTCCCGTGGGGACCTGTGTGACATGACGTGCGTGAGCAGAGGCAGGATGAGGAAAGAGAGGAGGAATCCCAGTGCCGACACGCCGTTTCGGAGTGCCACTGCTCTGCATCATCTTGGCCACCGAGTCGAGTGTGTTATTTCACGCGTATGTGAACACTCCGATGGCATGGTTTCCTGCCCGAATCTGTCCGTGGTCAGAGGTTCTAGAGAATCCGGTGACCCTGGATCCTCCCCAGAGGCAGAGATGGGGCTGGGCCACGTCGAATGAAGCCTTGGCCTCCTTCCCTCACAGCCCGGGGAGCCCTGCGGCCACCTGACTGTCCCGACTCTGAGCCACCTGAGGTTCCCGCTCTCCTCTGCTGTCAAGTGTCAAGTCTCAGCTCTTAGGCCACCGGGTATTACAGGCTCCAGTCACCACGCTGGACTTTGGAAGTGTGCTTTGTGAACTCTCTGTTTTAAAGCGAGGGGGAGAAGGAGACTTAGCAATGAGCAGAGCTGGGACCAGCCGAATCACAGTGGCGTTCGTGTATGTGTGCATGGGTGCCTGTGTGTGCGTGTGTGTGTGTCTGTGTGCGTGTGTGTCAAGGCAAGTGGACCACTCCACTGTTTAGCTCCTATTGATGCACCAAACGTAAGTGCCTCATTTCTGTGCCAAATGTTTGCCTTGGTCTTTGCCGACCTCCTTCCCTGACACGCGGTGGCGTGGCTGTTCGAATGTGCTGGTGTTCCCTGGAGGCCCCGGTGTCTTCCGCAGAGGCTTCTAGCATTTCCGTTTTTCATCCACTGCAGGAATCCAGCTGAGGGGAGCAGAGGCTTGTGTTTCCCCAACCCCAAGACGTGCTTTATCCCAAGACGGTCTGACCCAAAGATCGCAGGCCAGGTCTCTTCTCCTCCCGAAGGAGGATGAGAGGGCTTGTTCAGAAGTCAGAGTGAGATTGGGGTGCAGTGTTGAGAAACACAACCTGCCAGTGAATTACAGAGACATCGGGGCATCCCACAACCCACAGTGGTCCTCGTGGCGAGTATTCGAGAAGCCACGAAAATTTCCTTTCTGAACTGACTGACCAGGTGTGATTTTTACTCAAGGTGAAAGCGGTCAAGGGCATCAGGGAATTTGTCCCGAGCAGATAGCTCCCTCTGAGGAACCAAAGGAAGCGAGTGTCCATGGTTTCTGAAGAGCTGGTACGACAGGTTTCTTTCTTCTTTGTATGTTACGTGTGCTTTAAACAGAACAAAACGAGTCCGCGTCCTCACAAACTGTACATGGGCTCAGAAACCGTGAGCGGGCACCACCGCCGGCGCCGGCTCAGGGACACGGAGAAGGAATGTTTCCCAGGCATTTGCCTCTGGGGCTCCCATGGGGCAGGCGCATGCTGTCGGGAGTCAATGCGGTAAGTTCACGGTAGCTGAGCCCGACACGTAGTATAGCCAGGGTCCTACTAATCCACCCAGTAAGCGTATTGTTGTATTCCTCCAGTGTTAAGCTATAACCATGTTAAAAGTCACACTGCATTTATCCTCAGCATCAAAGACCTTGTAATGTCTTATCTGCCTTACCTTTTAATGCATATTTTTACTTTTCTGATATTGTAAAGGATATATCCAGTATGTAAATGAATGTTCTATAAATCCTTTGTATAGTCATTTTCTCTGCTCTTTAAATATCATCTCTATTCAGAGTATAATAAAATTATGAACTTGGTAAGCCATTTGTGTGCCCTGAAGTATGTTGTGTATGTGTCTGTGTGTACATGTGTATGTGTGTGCGTGTACATGTTATGTTTGTGTACATGTGTATCTGTGTGCACATTTGTGTATATGTGTCTCTGTGTGCATGTGCATGAGTGTGCATGCACATATGTACATGTACATGTGTCTGTGTGTGTGCTCATGCACATATGTGTGCCTGCGTGTTTATGGATCAGTGCATTCAGTTGTAAATTCACATGTTTTGCCTTCAGGAATATATTTTAAGATTTCTGCTCAGAGACCTTTTAAAATTTATATTCAAAGATTTTTAAAAATTAATTACAATGCACAGTGTTGATGATGGGTACTGATAATACTGCTATAAATACCTCTACACACACACTGGCTACAGGAAGACACCCCTGGCATGGACCAGCCCTAATGGGACATCCCAGTTTCTACCCAGGTGAGTACTTAGCCTGATATTGAAAGTCTCGTGGATTTGCTTATACTTCAGCAGATGCTGAGGGCACCCCAGCAGTGCTGCCCTCCAGCCTCTCATGCAGGGCTCATCCCCTGTGTCTTCCATCCCCCCAGCCAAGGTCCTCCTTTGGGGGAGTTTGTTCCTTTTTGCTGGCTTTCTGCCCTCTCTGGGCTGTCTCCCTCCAGAGGTGACAGGACACAGGGACTGCTGCTATCTTGTTCCCTCAGCTCTAAAACAGAAAAGAGCAATACCTGGGGCTCATTTGATCATGGACAGATAATAAAGATTTCAATTAACCGCTACTGCCCCCAGCACGAAGTTCCCCTCTGCATAGTTAGCCCCTGGAGGCTTTAGCTTTCCATTCTAACAAGACACAAAGGAGATCATTTTTCACTCCAAGTATGTTGGGAAGGTGGATTGAAATAATCCAGGTGTTAGTGCCTCAGAGTAGAAGGGAGAGTGGGCGGCGGCAGGTTAAGTCTTGTCCAACAGGAAGTTCTGATGAGCCTTTGAAGCAAATCATTGCCCAGGTTCTTGACCAGTGTCACAACAAAGTGAAAGGTGGGCAGGGCATTAATTTCATAAGAGTTTACAGACTCCTATTTCCAAGAACACAGTTGGCATGCATCACAGTTGCTGGGCTCATAGGGCATGCATGTCCCTAGGTCCCTGGCCAGAGGCATCCTAGGAGACGGTCACAGAGACCCAGTGACAACAAAGCCTAAACTGGACAAGCCCCTGCCACATGCTGCAGGTGGGTGTCACAGGTTCCCCATTTATCTCTCAGCAATGTTACAAAATGGGTACCTGTGCCCCACCTGCTGGGGTCATCCATCTATTACACCATGGGCACCTCAGCCCGCCCACTTGAGGGTTATTGATCTATTGTGTAATGGGCGCCTTGGGCCCACCTACTGGGGGACCTCAGGTCTATACCTTATGCGTGCTTGCGTGTCTTGTCATAGAGATTTGTATTACCACTAGGGAGGTGAGATGAGCTGCCCAATGGCCTTGGAAGGTCAAACTTCACGGAGCAGGAGCAGAACCAGTCTTGGGGGGCAAATTGGAGTTTTCTAGTTGGACTTGGGGCCTGGGGCAGTACCAGGAAGGGACATTTCATGACACAGGGATTGGCCATATCAGAACACACCCTGCTGCTGGGATATATCATAAATGGCCTTAAAGTTCCTAGGAAATCAGGCGACTGTGTGAAGCCTGGCCAGAGGCAAGAGAAGGGGGGTAAATGAGAGTTCACCAAGGTCACCAACCTAGGTGACCAGGAAGGGGGGGCAGCAAAAGGGATTCCACCACAACAGTTGATCTGGCCCAGGAAGCCTCTGTGTCCCCATGAATCTGAGACTTACATCCCATCTCAGAGAGTCTGGGGTGGCTGGGGGAACCAGAGCAGTGTCCCACCACGACAAGCACCCAGCCCCGCCTGGAAAGCACGCTCCATCTCCCACAGGCAGGGGGAACCTGCCACAACAAATGCTATGCCAGGGAAGCCTCTTCATAGCTGTGGGCCTGCAACTCTCCTCCCTCTCCCCCACCAAGAGACACCTCTTATGTCCCTCAGTTACATCAGCAGAGATCAGTGGGAGCCCCAGAGGCACCAGCTAAACCATGCAGACCAAAGTAGCACTGAAAAGCTCTGATGATTAAACCATCAGTGGGACCACAGGCCAGCACCTGCTTGCTAAACATAATCAAGACAACTACTTGCTAAAATAAAAGATTTAAATAGGGCCCAGAGTTTCCTAATATAATAGCTAAAATGTCTCCGATACAACAGAAAATTACCTGTTATGCCAAGGATCAAGAAATTTGCAACATGAGTGAGAAAGACCATTGATGCCAACATCAAGGTGAATCAGATGCTGGAATTATCTGGCAAGGATTTTAAAGTATACATCATAAAAATGCTTCAACAAATATAAATAAAGAAATAGAAAAACCACAGTAAATAAATAGAAGTTATGAAGAAAAACCAAATAGAAATTACAGAACTAAAAAGTATAATAACAGATATGAAAAGCTTACTAGATGGATTCAATAGTGGAGTGAAGATGACAGAGGATGGAATCAGTGAACTTGATGACAACTCAATAGAATTCACTCAATCTCAACAACAGAGAGAAAACAGACTTTTAAAAAATGAACAGCCACAGCAACCTATGGGACAATAACAAAAGATCCAACAATTGTATCACTGGTGTATCACAAGGAGATGAGAAAGGGAGGAGCTAAAGAATATTTGAAGAAATAATGACTTAAAACTCCACAAATTTGGCAAAAGACAGACCTGTAGATATAAGCCAATTGAACTCGAAACAAGATCAACAATAACAACAACGACAAAAATCCATGCCAAGAAATAATCATAATTAAACTTCTGAAATCTAAAGACAAAAAGAAAATTGTGAAGGCAACCAGAGAGAAATGATGGACTATGTACAGACATACACCAATTTGAATAACAGTGCGTTTCTCCTATTAAACCAGGGTGGCCAGAAGGAAGTGACACATTTTTCAAGGGCTGAAAAAAATGAAACATCAACCATGAATTCTATATTCAGTGAAATTATCCTGTGGGAATGAGGGGAAATAAAGACATTGTCAGATGAAGGAAACTAAAATAATTAGTTGCAACCAAGCCTACATTTAAAGATTAGCAAAGGAAGTCATTCAAATAGAAAGGAAATGGTAAAAACAAAACAAAACAACAACAACAACAAACCTTGGAGCATCAGGAGGGAAGAAACCATTGGAAAGAAGAGAGTATGGGTCATACAATAGACTCTCCTTGTCCTTACAAGTATTATAAATCACATTTGATAATTGAAACAAAAATTATAACACCAACTGATACTCAAGACAATATTAAAAAGTGGGTAAGACAAAGGAACCTAATTGGAAGTGAGATTTCCACACTTTAACCCAAATAGTAAAATGTCAATAGACAGTGATAAGTCACATATTTTATTATAATAACCAGAGCAACCACTATACAAAAAGATATACTCAATAAATAAATCAAGATGAAACCTTTAAGTATCCATAGGAAGACAAGTAGATAGAAACAGAAAAACAAAAATGAGACAAATGAAAATAAAATGTCAGATTTTAGCCCTAACATACTAATAATCCCCTAAACGTAAATATTCAGATTACATCAGTCAAAAGACAGATTGGGGTGTGTGTGTGTGTGTTGGCAGATGACACAATTATGTGCGGTTTACAAGAAACTTCAAATTCAGTGACATAGGTTGAAAATAAAAGGATGCAAAGAGATATGCAAACAACCAAAAAACCAAGAGTCAGTATATTAACATTAGATAAACTGGACTTAGAGCAAAGAAAATTACTAGAGTTGAAAAGGGACATTATACAATGAAAAAAAAGATCAATCCAACAGAAAGACATAAGGATCCTAAACATATGCTCGTAAAACATACAGAGCCTTTATACAATTAGTCCTCATTTAACAGCATTGATTGGTTCTTGGAAACAGTAACTTTAAATAAAATAACCTACAGCAGGCCCTAGAATATCATCATTTCTTTACAACACTAATGAGAAAAAAAATGGTTGCTTTATATACCATTTTGTGTAAAGCTGCAGTTTTCAAGAACCTATAGATGACATTAAGTGAGGACTTACTGTACGTAAATTAAAACCTGATAGAGTTGAAAGGAGAAATAGACAAATCTATAATTATCACTGAGGACTTTAACATTCCCCTCTCATCAACTGATAGAACTAAGTTTTGGTTTAAATATTTATGCCCCTCCAAAAAAATTCATATGTTGAAACTTAATCCCCAATGTGATGGTATTAAGCGCCAGAACCTTGGAGAGGTGACTAGGTCATGAGGTTGGAGCCATCATAAATGAGATTAGTTCCAAGGGAGCTTGTTTGCCCCTTGTACCCTGTGAAGACACAGCTAGAAGGCACCATCTATGAGGAATGGCCCCTTGTCAGACTCTGAATCTGCTACTGTTTTGGTTTTGGATTTCTCAGCTTCCAGAACTGTTGGGGGAAAAAAAGCTTGTTTTCTATAAGCCAAACCCATCCATAATATTTTTGTTATAGCAGCCAAATGCACTAAGACAAAAATTGGTACTAAGGAGTGGGGGTATTGTATAAGAAATACCTTAAAATATGGAAGCAGCTTTGGAGCTGGGTGATGTTTAGAGGCGGGAAGAATTTTCAGGTGCATGCTAGAAAAGGCTACATTACTGTTAGTGGACCATTAAGGACGATTCTGGTGAAGGCACAGAAGAGGAGAGCCATAGAGAAAGCCTCAGTCGTCTTACATAATACCTAAATGGTTGTGAACAGAATACTGATAGAAATATAGACAGGAAAGGCCATTCTGGTGAGGTTTCAGTAATCCCAGACAGGTACAGCCACCAGCATGCGTCTTCAGCCTGGGAGAACCCCAGGCATATGACTCCAACTCATGAAAACTGCCATGTGGGCTGTGCTCAGTGAAGCCATGGGGACGGGGCTGCTCAGGGTTTTGGGGGCCC